TCAAAAGTAGAATGTCACTCAAAGGATTAAGGATGTGTATGTGTGTATGTGTGCGTATGTGTGTGTGTGAAAAAAAGAGAGAGAGAGACAGATAGACAGACAGGAAAGTATCCCACCCAATCCTCCTTGTGAGCTTTTATATAATTATATGATCTCTCTGGATGTCCGTAAGTCTCCATTATACTAAATTTTTTCAAACTAGGATACTTTTCTATTTTTAACTGTTGAATTACTAAAATGCTTCCAAAGCAGACTGGTGTGGTGGTTAAGAAACAGGCTCGGATATCAGAAAGGCTCTTGTCTAATTCCACCCACTACTACCATCGCCACAACCAATCCTCTCCTAGAAGGGAATCAGGTTATTCTCTCTATGCTTAGCTTCCCTCATTGGCAAAATGAGAATAATATTACTGATCTTCTGGGGTGGTCATGAGAATCAAATGAGATGATACATATAGCACAGGTGACCATAGCAATGGCTCACGGTGTGTTTATGAAATTAGTATAAGTAAGTGCTTATGAATTGCTTCTGTTATAATTTAGATCTCTGCTGGAAAATGTTGGAAGTCATGGAAAAATAAAAGCTTTTGTGCTGTATTAAAACCAGGATGGTATCTACATCTGGGCTCAATATTTACAGATTCAATTCTGGTATAGGGGTGAGAAGAGCTCTCCCACAACAAAACTGTATCTTGCATAGTATAAATTTTAGTGAGTTGTTGAGCTAGCAGAAAGTAAGAGAAATCTCCAATGGGGGTAGGGGCAGGAGTTGGCATAGGAGATTGAAAAAGGGTTTGAGCAGAAAGTAAAGCACTGAATGATAAGAAGGTGATCCTGCCAAAAAGACAGGTTTCATGAGGACAGGTGTCCAATTGGCTTTACCTGTGAAGACTGGTCCTGACCTGTTGCCAAGATTGGGAGGCTGAACCTTGGACTCCAGGATTAATGTGGGGAACCTGGAAGGCAGCCGGTTCCCCATAGATATAAACATAAATCTTCTAGAGGAAAGCAGCCTCAATTCAGGACCCCAGATCTTCACAGATTAGGTCAATAAGATGTGAGTTTCAATCAAAGATCACCCATGCATAAGAAAGTAAATCACTGTGAATGAGTCCACACAAACAATAGACAATAAATTTAAATTCCCAGAACTTTCATGTGTTAGAATTACCGAATACAAAATACATAATACTTAATATATAATGAGCACTCAACAAGAGGCTATCAAAAATTACCAAATAGATTCTAAAAATCAAATGGAATTTATCGAAATGAAAAAATATAAAATCATGGATATAAAAACTCAATGTGTGAGTTAAACAACAAATTAACTATAGTTGAATAAAGAATTAGTGAACTGAAAACACATCTGAAGAAATCTATGCCAATCTCTACCAAAATATAGAAGAATCACAGACACAGAAAAAATAAATAGAGGTTAAGGGATTTTGAGGATAATAGTAAAAGTTCTAACGTATATCTAAACAGAGTCCCAGGAGGAGAGAACAGTCATAATAAAGACAAGACAATATTTGAAGAGATGATAGTTGACGTTTTTTCAGAATTTATGAAAGATATGAATCCCTAGATACATAAAGCCCATTCTATATCAAGCAAGATAAATAAAAAGAACTCTACCTCTAGATAAAATGAGGTGAACTTGAAGAACCTCGAAGAGCAAGGGAGTATATTGGGAACAGTCAGAAATAAAGAAAAGATTGTCACAAAGAATAACTGAAAGACCAATAGCAGACACTGGCTGGGCACGGTGGCTCACGCCTGCAATCCTAGCACTTTGGGAGGCCAAGGCGGCTGGATCACAAGATCAAGAGAGTGAGACCATCCTGGGCAACATGGTGAAACCCCGTCTCTACTTAAAAAGAAAAAAATTACAAAAATTAGCTGGACATAGTGGCACATGCCTGTAGTACTCGGGAGGCTGAGGCAGGAGAATCGCTTGAACCCAGAAGGTAGAGGTTGCTGTGAGCCGAGATCGCACCACTGCACTCCAGCCCAGGTGACAGTGCGAGATTCCATCACACACACACACACACACACACACACACTCTCTCTCTCTATATATATATATATGTATGTAAAATATATATACACACATATATGAGATCTTCAAAGTGCTAAGAAAAAAGAAAAAAGAAAAACCTATAAAGTTAAAATCGTAAATCCAGCGGTATTATCTTTCAAGTACAAGGTCAAAAGAAATAATATTTTCAGATAAATAGAAATTGAAAGAGTTTACTTTCAACAACACTGACGCTTAAGGGATTTTTTTTTAAAAAGTACTTCAGAAGAAGGAAATGAACCTAGAAAGAAAGTCTGGGAAAGGAATAAGCAAAGCAAATGGTAGACATTTGAACCTTAATTCAAATTAGTAAATCTAATACAGAATTACTGAATTAAATGATGATATTGATGTCTAATTTGTGGCAGCTTAATAACAAGAAACAAGCTAAAAGAAAAGAGAATAGCACACACGTAAATTAGAATAGGGACAGTTCTTATCTCTCAATTGCAGGGTTAAGATATTGTTTGCAGGTTTGTTAAATATGTATGATAAAATTGTAAGGGTAATCATAAAGAATGAAGATAGAGTGTACAATTTCCACAGCAGGTAGAGAACAAAATCATACAGGAGACAAGAATACAAAAAGCTTCATCAAGTAATAAATAAAATCAACTAGACCTTTAATTGTGAAATCTTTGTAGAGTCTTCTGGTATAAAAATTGGGCCGGGGAGGAGTCGGTACTGTCAGTTCCACAGTAATAATTAAGCCTGGGCAGAAGATGGAGAAGGCATCATAGAAGATGCTGGAGATTGTGGGCAGTGGAGGAGAAAGACAGAAAAACTTTTAGAGCAGAGATGTCAAAAGGAGAAGGGGTTTTGTCAGCCACAATGACATAGACTGGGCTCTCTCCCTTCCTGGGGCAGAGGCAGGAGGCAGAGCCATTCCAGCTGATAGATAAATGGCTAACATACTGAGGGCAAATAGGGTGCTGATGCTGATGCTCATTAGATTAGGCGGGTGTGCAGCTGTGTCTCACAGGGGCCTTGATACTGGCCCCAGCCTTGGCCACAGCAGTTTAAGAGAAGCAGGCAGGAAGAGAAGGTAGGAGAAGAACAATGGGACATCTCTGTGGGCAGTACCCAGGACAGCTACCACCCCCTTGCCACATCCTACTTAACCTGGAAGGAGGCTGAGGCTGAAGCCAGAAGGCATATGCATTGGCACAGGTCTTCAAGGAAAGACCCAGCCACACCACAGAGCTGAAAATGGGAGGGTAACACTGGATAACATGGGCGCCTGCAACGTGGGAATATGTGCCCAAATACAAGTGAATCTACGGTTTAATCACTGCCCCTTTCCTTCTCAGAGAAATATTAGGGGACCCACTTCTGACCATTACATGCCCAAGAGTTCCCTTCTGCCACTTAAAAGTGTTAAAGTATTAATCAGGAAAACCCAGAAATCAAAAGATTTGGAGAAACATACCACAGATTTGAAGGAACCAAAAAATGCATAATAGTAATAATAACTAAGGCATATATGCTGTTTACCCTGTGGCAGACACTATTCTAAGTGCTCGATGTAATCATCTCATTTAATCTTCAGGTGCCCAAGATCCCACAGCTAATAAGAGGTAGAGCTGGGATTCAAACATAGTCATTCTGGTTCCAGAGGCTTTACTCTTAATTAGCATGCTGCTTCTGAGTTGTTGGAGGATATTTTGCCTGGAGAAGTTTGAATTCGAGGTTGATACTACAGATTGCAATTGCATGTTTGCATTCCCCTAAAATTCAAATGTTGAGGTGCTAATCCCCAATGTGATGGCATTTGGAGGAGGGGCCTTTGGGAGGTAATTAGGTAATTAGATCTTGCAGGTGAATCTCTCTAATGGGATTAGTGTCCTTATAAGAAGAGACATCAGAGAGATTATCTCTCTCTCTTTCTCTTTCTCTTTCTCTTTCTCTTTCTCTTTCTCTTTCTTTCTCTTTCTCTTTCTCTTTCTCTTTCTCTTCTCTTTCTCTTTCTCTTTCTCTTTCTTTTTCTCTTTCTCTTCTCTTTCTCTTCTCTTTCTCTCCCTGCCATGTGAACACACAGTGAGAAGCCATCTTTCTGCAAAGCAGAAAGAGGGCCCTCACTGAAAACTACACCATGATCTCAGACTTCTAGTCTCGTGAACTGTGAGAAATAATTAATTGTTGTTTAAGCCACCCAGGATGGTATTTTTCATAGGCTTGTCTTCAAATATTTGAAGGGCTGTGTATGCAAAAAGTGTTAAACTTATTCTATAAGGACCAAAGGGATTAGAACTAGGAAAACAATTCTTTCCAGCCAACTTTGTAATTGGTAAAGGTTCCTAAAGAAGTAATGGGTTTCCTCAGAAGGTGCTAAGTTCTCTGTCCCTGGATATTAGATGTACCTGGTGTTAGTAATATGGAGAGAATTCAATCATTAAATGAGACTCTATAAAATTTCTTCCAACTCTTGAAAGTCTATAGAATCATTAGAGTCGCTGCAAAAGAACTCAGATTCAGCAAACTGGGTGTTGAGGATTCTTAACTTCCATAGAAGCTACACCCTCTCCCCTTACTTTGCTCCAGGACATCTTGGAGCCATTATTTGAATATTTTAAGACTCTACACACCTAGATACTCTTCCTTCAGAGGTCCGCTTAGGCACTGTGTCCTGCAAGATGTGTCTCCCACCCCATTCCTAACACCAGTTTAGGTGCCCCCATCACCCCATCTTTCCCTGGCCCTGCCACTTTTCATACTACACCAAATATTCTGTTTTGTCATCAGTCACCCCTGTATTGATTTCTTAGGGCTGCAATAACAAGTTACCACAAATGGGATGACTTACAGCAACAGAAATGTATCATCTCATAGCTCTAGAGGCTAGAAGTCCAAAATCAAGGTGTCAGCAGGATCATGCTCTCTCTGGAGCCTCTGGGGAGAATCCTTCCTTGCCTCTTCCTACCTGGCAATTGTGGCTGGTGATCCTCGATGTTCCTTGGCTTGAGGTTGTATTACTCAAACTGCTGCCTTTGTCTTCACATGACCTTGTCCCATCTGCATCTGTGTCTTTGTGTGTCCCTCTCCTCTTCCTTTAAGGACATCAGTCACATGAGATTTAGGACACACCCTAATTTAGTATGACCTCTTAATTTAAGTAGTTACATCTTTAATAGCCCTATTAGCAAATACCGTCACATTCACAGATATCAAGGATTAATATATCAATATATCTTTGGGTGGATCATGCCTGAAATTCCAGCACTTTGGGAGGCCAAAACAGGTAGATCACCTGAGGTCAGGAGTTCAAGACCAGCCCGGCCAACATGGTGAAACCCATCTCTACTAAAAATGCAAAAATTAGCCAGGTGTGGTGGCTCATGCCTGCAATGCCAGATACTCAGGAGACTGAGGCAGGAGAAACACTTGAATCCGGGAAGTGGAGGTTGCAGTGAGCTGAGATCGTGCCATGGGTGACAGAGTGAGATTCCATCTCAAAAAAGTATATATACATATCTTTTGGAGAGGGCACATAATTCGACCCACCACGTTCCCCAACCTCCCCTACTCTCTAGCCTGTGGGTTCTTTGAAGATTGTGTCTTCATTCCACATATTTTTCTTAAGTCTATTATGACCTACACCCTGTTCTAGGAACTGAGGGCGCATCCCAGTCAAGGTGCTTACACTTAGTGGAGCTTCCTTCTCCACATGGATTCAGACAGTAAAAGGTGGCCCTTCAGTGCTGAAGCCCAACACTAAGTGCATGTGTGTATGCACATACACACATACAGTAGGTGCCCCTTAGCCATGGTTTCCCTTTCTGAGGTTTCAGCTACTCATGGTTAACTGCAGTCTGAACACACTAAAAGCAGACCTCTAGAAATAAACAATTCCTAAATCTTAAATGGCATGCCTTTCTCAGTGGTGTGATGAAATTTCATTCAGTCCCACTCCATGCTGCCCAGGACTTGAATCCTACCTTTGTCCAGCCAATCCACACTGTCTACACCACCTGCCCATTAGTGTCTCAGTAGCCAACTCAATGATTGGATCACCTGTCACTGTATGGCAGTGCTTGTGTTCAAGTCACCCTTATTGTATTGCATGATGGCCCTAAAGCACAAGAGTAGCGATGCTGGCAATTTAGATATGCCAAGAAGCCAGAATGTGCTCCCTTTAAATGAAAAGGTAAACGTTCTCAACTTAATAAGGAAAGAAAAACAAATGTATGCTGAGGTCAGACATCTGTATGGTAAGAACAAATCTTCTGTCTATGAAATTGTGAAGAACGAAAAAGAAATTCATGATAGTTTTGCTGTTGCACCTCGAACTGCAAAACTGTGGCCACAGTGCATGATAAATTCTTAGCTAAGATGGAAAAGGCATTGAGTTTGTGGGTGGAGAACATGAACAGAAACGTGTTCCGACTGATGGCAATCAGGTGTGGTACTATCCTCAGTTTTAGGAACCCACTGAGGAGTCTTGGAATATATCCCTCGTGGGTAAGGGGAGGCTACTGCATATGCATATATATAGTCACTTAATATATATTTGATGAGGGAATGTTAACTGGAACAGTAGGAAATGGAGGATAAATTATTCCATCTTATCCAGTCAGTGCTTTCTGGCATGTTTATCAAAATGTAAAAGTGTGGTTTCTCTTTGTCCCTTGTAAAACTTTGTTCTATGGTACTTGAATTCTTATTCTCAGTTGACCTAAGGGTCAACCCAACTCCCCAGATAATATTTCTGAATATCATAAAACCAAGTTTATAAGGGGTAGTCCTAATTTTTATTAAAGTCAAACTTACAACTAAAGAAAACATGTGAACTCTGTTTACCTTCCAGGGCAGCGTCAGCTCCTCTCAATCTCCATTTGTGCAGATGCCAGGTGAGTACTTCAATTCAATAAGCAATTATTCCCTTTGGAATTTAAATCAAGCATCTGGGCTTCCATTCTTTCATAACGACCTTACAGCACTTCCAAAACTCTGCTCCTTTAAAATAGTTTTGTCTAAAATACAAAATCAGCGAAGAACAGAACTCATTCAGTCATTTCTGAATTTAAAATTCATTTTGTCTTGAAAGCAGCCTTTGATCCCAAGCTTTTGGGGCAAAGGCAATATAAATTATGCCCTTGATACAGTTTTAAAATGTCTAAAGTTCTGACACCATGATCTGAGAGATGAGGCATCTGCTTTCAAACAGAAAGAGGAAAGCGCGGCCTGCGAGCAGAGGGAGCCAGGCACTTGGTTCAGCATTTTGAATTCATTTCAATGCCTGTGTCTCATTAAATACTCCTGTGGGGATGTAAAAAGGGAATTCCTAATAATAGTGTTGGACATTCTCATATACACACACACACACAGGCAAAGACAATCTCATCTAGTTCAACTCACAAGCGGCACAGTCCCTAATAGTTTTATCACCTTCAAAGCTGGAGAAGGGAAAGGAATAAGAGCAATGGAGGATCCCGAATATTTAAATGCCTGTATGTTGTTTCCCAATCATATATACTGCCATTGAAATTTGGTTGCATCTCCTGCCTTCTACAGAAAAAAAAAAAAAAAAAAAATTCTATAGCTTCTCTTTATCTAGAAATTATCCTTTCTCTTTGTACAGAGAAAATCCATGCTAAGAGAGCAGATGCTTTTTTCTTTGTGGTTGTTTTGATTTGGAAATTGGGAGTATAGATGAGAGCCTGGAAACCTTGTTTTCATATTCTCAACCTTAACCACTCTCATAAACATAAATTCATTGTATGAAACAGAACCTTATATTAAGGTTCAGTTGCACAGATTTTTTTTCCCAGGGAAGTATGCTTATAATGAAAACCCTAACTGCAGTTTTCAAATGCATGAGCAAGTTAGAAGTTATAGAAGGTAAGAGGCAAGTGAAGTGAGTAGAATCGTGCTATAGGTTTTGATGGGGAATTTTGATTTCTTCTTCTGGATGAATAAATTCACATGCCATTCTTGAACACAATGTTATACTACTAGGTTTAAAGAAAATGTATAAGGCATGAGCTCTGCCCCCTTGGGCTTGCAGGTTGGCTGGAAAGATCATTGTGACTCAGGTGAAAGAGGAATGAGCATAATATAAAGTTCCACGTCCTGTGGAATGGGCTGGAATTCTGGGTCTATAGAGTCAGAAGCTCAGAAGTGGTCTGCTGTGGTTGGGGTAAGGTAAGAAAGACAGGCACTTACATCTTCTGCCAAGCTCAGCCTTTTTGTGACCTGTGACCTAACGGTGTTAGTGTTTGCATTAGATCACACCCAAGGCCAACTGGAACAATTAAACCATAAGTTTTATAGACCTGAAGTCTATGCCCTCAAACATGTTCTGAATGATCATGTGTTTTCTGCTACAACTGAGCTATTGTTGAGCAAACACATCTTTTTCTTTGGAAACCATTTCACTGCTGCGTTTACCTTAAATGAAGCTCTTATCAGTCTCTGTCCCTCCCTCTCTCCACCAAGGGAAAATTTTATTTATTTTTTTTTTGAGACGGACTCTCGCTCTGTCACCCAGACTGAAGTGCAGTGGTGCCATGCCGGTTCACTGCAACCTCCACCTACCTCCCGGTTCAAGCGACTCTCCTGCCTCAGCCTCCCGAGTAGCCGGGACTCCAGTAGCTGGGATAACAGGCACGGTGGCCCAGCTGATAAGTATTGTTTTTAGTAGAGACACGGTTTCACCATGTTGACCAGGATGGTCTCAATCTCTTGACCTCGTGATCCGCCAACCTCGGCCTCCCAAAGTGCCCGGATTACTGGCGAGAGCCACCGCTCCCGGCCCACCAAGGGAAACTTCCTGCACCAGGCACTGTCTGCCTAAACTTGCAGGGCCTTGGTGAGTTGAGGGAAGGATTCCGTGAGGCCACCAGAGGGCAGCAAATAACATGAAACTCATCAAAGCCCTGCAACCACAGGCCTTTAAAACTGGCTTCTGAGTAGCCATCTAACCCTTTTAAAGCAAGTCATTTATTGATGTCTGCCAGGTGTGCGACCCAGTGTAAGGTCCATGTGCGAAGAATTAAAGACAGAGTACAGCCTGCCTCTGATTTGAGGTGGGGTTATATGTGTCACCTTATCCAGAGATAGTGATCTCAGATAACAGGCCAGGAACAGCCTCTTGTTAACAGTTCTATGTATATGGAGAGGTAGCTCCGATGTTGTGAAAAAGATGCTTCCTTGGTTAAAATGTGAATGCCAAGAGATTCTTTTATTTCTCTCTTCCTAGCACAGCCCCGGGGCACCTGGAAGGTACTCAGTAACTGTGAATGAACGAACAGATACCGTACTGTCTAAAATGAACTCACCCCTAAAGGCGATAATGTTTTCAAACATCAGTTATTTGGGCTAATGCAGGAATATTTCACGCTTTTCAAGACATTTCTCTATTTCCATGTTAGCGCTGGAGTCAGGCACGCGTTAGTAACATCATTTTCCAGGCAGAGACTCAGCTGCAACTGAGGCCTTGACTGCCCTGGGTGGGAGGAACTTTCTGCCCATGTGTTTTTCATTTGGCAACAGGTTCGCCGGTCACGTCAGGTTACTACGGTGTCAGAAGATCTTTCTTATCTGACTCAGACTTCCACAACAGTAAACAGTTTTCAAATGACGTCTACACCTCCAGCGTGGGGAAGCCGTTTCCCTGTGAGTCCTCCGCAGGGCAGAGCCATGCGGCCCTCCTGGAGCCCTATTTCCCTCCGGAGCCCTATGGAGACTACCGGCCTCCGGCGCTGACGCCCAACGCGGGCTCTCTGTTCAGCGCCTCGACCCTGCCGCCCCTCCTGCCGCCGCCCTTCCCCGGAGACCCCACTCACTTCCTGTTTGTGAGTATGCAGAGGCCTCCTGTGAGGGAGTAAAAGAGGGGCGAGGCTCACCCTCTGGCCCAGCCGCTGTGCTTGGCATCCGGGTTGAAGCCAGGTCTGGCTCACCCTGGAGACTCCTGAGGCTGCTTTGCAGCTGCCTGGAGATGCCAGGACACCCTCTGAGGGAGCCTTGTTCAAGGATCCCTGTTAGCCATGACAGCCAGGAGGGTCTAAGCAGGGCTTGAAACCGGGAGGAATGTACAGCGGGATTTATATCCATTTTGTTAATGCTCTGCGGATACTGTCTGATGTTCCCCCACCCTGTTAGTGCCAGTCATCATCATTCCTGCAGCCCCTAAGGAAGGAACACTGAAGCTGCATCTCAGACCTGCTAGGCAGTAATGAGATGGGTGCTAATCTCCCAAGGAGGGTACATAGCACTCCTCTTTCTTTCCAAGTCCCCTGCCTCCCCTTCCCCACATTTTTAGCCTAAAAATCCTTGTTCTCTCTCAATCCTTCCAAACAGGTGAGTTCATAAAGATCTGAAGAATGCTAATGCTCATTGAGAATCGTAAAGGTTTCTACCACAAAGGAATCTCTAAAGACAGCATTTTAGACAAAAGGGAGAGAATGAGAATTCACATTATTAAGTATATTCTGTGCCAGAAAATGTGATGTGTTCATTCAATACTTGCAACAACTCAGGATATATTTATGAAAGCCCCATTTTACAGATGAGCAATGTTGGGCTCAGAGTCAAGAGGAGCCATGAATGAATCCAAATCTTTCTAGCTCCAAACTTAAGGGATTCCTACCTCTTTCCTCCTGCCTTACTGAGGACAGAGTGGGCTTCTTAGTCCCCTCCAAAGCTCACCATGGAGTTGAAGGTCTACTGCAAGGAGTGGGCCAAGCGCTGACCTTCCCCACTGTATAAACGGCATTCTAGGACCCAGACTAATGGGAGACTCAAAAAGAATCCAAGCAGCGTGCATTGTACACAGTAAAATGTTGCATGGATGTGCATTTTATTAGTCTCACATTTCACTCATTTAATGTTGTCTTCTGGGAAAAAGAATCTCAATATCTATAGCAAATCTAATTCTAGAGTAGGAAGGGAGGAAAACTTTACTGCTAGTGCCAAAAGCCAGAGAGAAGAGCAGCCTGAGAGCCAGGCTTCAGACAGCAGAGAGAGGGGATGAAGGCTGCCCTGAAGTCACAGTCTGGCAGCACGCAATGTATCATCAGAGTGTCACCTAGAGAATAACCTCTGTGGCCTTTCCATTCTCCTCAGAGGGACTCATGGGAGCAGACGTTGCCTGACGGTCTCAGCCAGCCCGACCCTGTGTCTGCCGATGCTCTGCAGACCTTGCCACCCAGCACGAGTTGCCTCTCCCAGCTTGAGTCTGGGAGCACCGCCCAGCACAGGGGCTCCAGCTGGGGGACCTCCCTGGCTGGGGCTCAGTCCTACTCGCTGCATGCTCTGGAAGATCTGCACCACACTCCGGGGTACCCCACCCCACCTCCTTACCCCTTCACCCCTTTCATGACGGTGTCAAACGACCTACCACCCAAGGTGGGGCCACTCTCCCCAGATGAGGAAGCAGACACCTGTTCCCTCCATGACCCTTCCCCTTGGGCGAAAGAAGATGGGAGCATCCCCTGGGGGTCATATGAATGCCGCAGAGCTTATTGAGGGGGAGGGCCAAAGGACTTCTGGGCTTTTCTTCAACTTGAGGTATATTTCGAAGATTGTTTTAGGTGTGTCAGCTCATTCAGGACTGGATCTTCAGAATAAGCCACAATGCCGCCCTTTGTTAGTGGACGAGGGCATTTATTTGTAATCTTCTCCACCGTAGCCCCACTGAAATAAAACAGAACGTTAATTAAATGTATCACAGACCGTATTCTAGTAAGATAACCTTACAATGTGGTCTTTTTGGAACTGTTGTAACCCATTACGTTCTGAATCTTCTGTTATCTTTGAAGTATCATTTTTGGCACTGATTTTTTTTCCTAAATTACATTAAAAAGTTTACGCAGATCATAAAAAATACCGATTTTCCTGTCAAATGTTTCTTAGTTATAAACTATGTGTATTCTTCAGTAAAAGACACTAAATAGGATATAATATAGATATGACCACATAAAACAAAACTCATTTTATAGCATGTGACTTGAAAGAGTGTTTTATATACATATATTTATGCCTTATTTTAGTGATTTGTAAAAGCCCAGTAAAAAAAAAAAAAGGCACAATCTATAAATATGTTATTGTCCATAAAAGAGGATGAGATCAGGAGACTACGGCTTTGTAAATAACAAAGTTATTTTTTGAGTCTATCCTAAAGCCCAGGATGTCCCCAAATTAGTTCAATCCACAAAAGTCCAAAAATTTTCTTTGATCAATGATGGCCTTAATTAAACCAGACATTGTCTCTCTGATGGAGTAAACCTACAGTTATCAGCATGAATGAGTAAAATAGGCATTCTGTAATCAAATGGAAATTTATGCTTTTTTTTTATTTTTGAGACAGGGTCTCACTGTCACCCAGACTGGAGTGTGGTGGTGTAATCATGGCTCACTGCAGCCTCAACCTCCTGGGCTCAAGCAATCCTCCTACCTCAGCCTCCCAAGTAGCTGGGACCCAGGTGTATGCCACCATGCCCAGCTAGTGTTTTCATTTTTTACTTTTTACTTTTTTTTTTTTTTTTTTTAGTTTTTGTAGAGACAATGTCTTACTATGTTGCCCAGGCTGGTCTCGAATTCTTGACTTCAATCTATCCACCCACCGTAACCTCCCAAAGTGTTAGGATTACAGGCGTGAGCCACCACAACCAACCAAACTCATACCTTTTAAAGAAAATATAGAAAATAGGACTAAACTGTTTGCAAGAAACAGACCACAAAACACCAAGAAGCAAAGGGGCTTTGGAGAAGGACATATCATGCCAATAGCTTGACAAACAGCCAATAGCTTGACAAACAGCACCTCCTATTTGGTGGCTTACTGGTCGGAAATGTACAGCTCTTACTATGTGTCAATGAAGATATTGACATCTGAAGCATGAATCTGTCCACATTTGATTGGTGTGGGTGCCTTTACTAATTGGGTTCCCAGCATAATTCCAGCATGCCTATCTGTGGCCAAGCTCATCATACATGCCAGGTATACACTGAGACTTTGCAGATGCATGAGTGGAGGCTCCTGGGTTGTACCTGCACCCTTCTTCCAAGGTTCCTACCACCTGTCTTTCTGCACTTCATTCTCACATCTTTTCCACCCTCTGGTCCCTCCTGATCCAATGCCATTTCTCTCCATCTTCTGGAGGCCAAGGCCTTCATTTTCCCTCTCGTTGCCCAAAGCCCCTGAACACAATGTCCATCACATCCTCTGTGACTGTCCCATACTCTACCTCAGCAAGGTAGAAGCCCAGACATTCCAATAAGGGGATTAATTCACACTTACAAGCAAATAATTTATATTCCTTTTTTTCCAGGCCTTCAGGGTATTTTCTGGTTAAGCAAACACTCTTCTAGTTTATGGAGTGCCACCAGAAATGCTTGGGTAGTGAGCTTTCCTTCACCTCATCCTTTCGGCTCCCTCCAGGCAGAGCATTCTTCAGGGAACAGATCAAGAGTGAACACATGGGGCCCTCTGCTCCTAGGCAGCACTGCCAGGACCCCTGCCCCACTTCCTTCCCCTCCACCAGCTCCTTTGGGCAGCCTGAACTTTGCTTTGCTTAGTGCTTGCTCTTCAGTGAAAAGTGGCAACGTTCACTGTGCAAGAAAGGAACTGTTCTTTCCTAAATCCAGCATGACTGCAACCTCAGTCCTGGTTCCCAATATGGCTGGCAGAACCATCTGTCACTCAGCAGTTACTGATACCTGAAGAGCAGGCCTGTGCATCAGAAAGAAGACATGTGGCCCTCTCTGCAGGTATAGAGGTCTTCACAAGGGCCTCAGAGTCATTTTCCTAGATTGGCGTCATAAAGTTTAAAATAATTTGTCCTCTACTGCTTACCATTTGTTACTGGGTATCAATAACATGGTAATGGATGTGTAAATCATAAATATGGGTCCACATGACTTTAACTTTCATGTGATTTATGACACTGAATATTTTGCTTGTTCATGCGTTCCTTCATCTCCTAACAACTTGAAGATTCACTGGCTCTCAGACAAAGACAGCTCAACAACCAGACCTTGGAACAGAGGGAAATACAGGGAGCATGATGATGTTTACATTCTTCTTAAAACTTCCAATCCCTTTCATAGCATTTGACTAAATTAACTTATAAAAAAGAGACACACCCAGGCCCACGTATGCCTGCTAGTGTCCACTTCAGTTATCTAGTCTAAAAGGGGTCGGGGGAGTAGAGCTGGTGCTAATAATTCCAAATAATAAATGATCTTTAAGAATTCTTCTTAGTTTGACATGTGTCTCTGTATTACATATATTTTAATTTGATTCTGTTTTATTGTTCAAGGAATACTTTGTTAAAAGGTGAAATCAAGCTACAAAATTATGACAGGAAAATTAATTCTATTTCCTTATCCCATCCCATTTTTCTTTCAAGTACTCTGTTTTCTTTCCTTTCGTTCTTTCTTTCTTTCCTTTTTTTTTTTTTTTTTTTTTTTGAGACAGTCTCACTCTGTCACCCAGGCTGGAGGGTGGAGACCAGTGACACAATCTTGGCTCACTGCAACCTTCACCTCCCAGGTTCAAGCGATTCTCCTGCTTCAGCCACCTGAATAGCTGGGATTACAGGCATGTACCACCACACCTGGCTATTTTTTGTATTTTTAGTAGAGATGGGGTTTCGTCATGTTGGCCAGGCTGGTCTGGAACTCCGAGCCTCAAGTGGTCCGCCTATGTTGGCCTCCCAAAGTGCTGGGATTACAGGCGTGAGCCACCACACCCAGCCAATTTTCTACAACATGTGGGGACTAACCGCACCTTTTCATAACAATGCATCATGCCAACATACAAAAATAGGTGCATTCTTCTCTCCCTCACCTTCCTTAAACCTGCTCTTCACTGACTTACAACCTTCCCGAGAAAGTCAGAGAAAATTAAAGAGCTCCGGTTCAACACTCCATCTCTTTCAGGTCTTGTAAGGACACAGAATATATTTAAGATTTAAAGTAATCAGAGATGGTATGTCAAATTCAAACCACTAAAGAAAGCTGACTAGATGGTAATGCCAAAAAGAAATCGAGCACAATTTGCCCATGCAAAAGCTGCAATATAGACAATCATGCCATGAACCACACGCAGTATGTAGTTGAAGGCATTTGCATTCCTCTTACAATATTATACAAACCCCAAAAAAGGAGAGAAGAAAACTACATCTTTACCTCATTTATTTAATAAATGATTTCAAGTGATCATTATGACTTGCTATAGCTCAGTTAATAATACAATATCACGGTACTATTGGGGTAGGGGGAAAAGACAGAAGTACTCTAAAAGAAATTGCACAAAGGGAAAATAATTACTAATGCCAATAGTAAAATATACATTGACATACATATATACATATGTATACACATGTATAAAAGTATTATAGTATCTTTGTGATCAGTTTTTCAATATTTAAATATCTAAATAGTATAGTCATAGGAATAAAACATCAGTTATATTTAAAGTACCAAAATAACGATTGATGTCTGAGGTTTAAGTCACATTACATTATAGTGATTCTACCAACCACACCCAAATTATACTCTTTACTTAAGGCTCCATCATTGGGTTCTGTCTACAGTATCCTCTCTATGCAAAACAATGTTACACTGTTCATCTCACACACCATAGACTCTAGAGAGGTTAAGTGCAAAATCACATACTCTAGACAAAGAGTGGTTCTCCAGCTAAAGAGACTCATGGGGAGGACTAATGAATGGCTCACCTCTGTCCCAGCACCTGGCTCAGGGCCTAGAACATTGTAGACGCTCAGTAAATTTTTTTTAGATAGAACTAAAATTATACCACAAAGATGAATAACTTTCTAGCCCTTAGTTCTATGGGTGACAGCTATCTGAAACCAGTGTCTGAGAGGATTCTCACAATGTTTAGCATCTAACATTAGACATACTCTCTCCAAATTCAGACAGTAGGTGGATATTGGGCTTCAGTGGCAATATATTTAAGATGACTGGTTTAGTATTTTTAGATTCCTTTATGAAGTAAAATTACCGAAACTTTGAAATAGCGCAGAAAAAATGTTGATATATTCATTTACTATATACATGTACTATGATCTGTTGCTAAGAAATCTTATAAATAAAAGTTATTCAATGTTTGATCATTATCCCTGGTGTGATTAAAACAAGTATGATAAATAAATCAGGAACTAGAATCCTCAAAGGTCAAGTTAAATAAACATTAAAATCTTCTATAGTTATTTGCAAATGATGACATTATATTATATTTGATTTTTGATACGGAAGTATCCTCTGACAAGGTGTGGCAGTTCACGATGCCTGTAATCCCAGCACTTTGGGAGGCCGAGGCGGGAGGTTTGCTCAAGCCCAGGAGGTCAAGGCTGCAGTGAACCATCATTGCACCACTGCACTCCAGCCTGGGAGACAGAGTGAGACCCTGTCTCAAAAAAGAAAAAAAAAAAAAGAAATATCAAAAACAAAAACCAACAACAGGCTGGGTGCGGTGGCTCATGCCTGTAATCCCAGCACTTTGGGAGGCCGAGGCGGGCGGATCACAAGGTCAGTAGATCAAGACCATCCTGGCGAACACGGTGAAACCCTGTCTCTACTAAAAATACAAAAAATTAGCCAGACGCTGTGGCGAGAGCCTGTAGTCCCAGCTACTCGGGAGGCTGAGGCAAGAGAATGGTGTGAACCTGGGAGGCAGAGCCTGCGGTGAGCCGAGATCGCGACACTGTACTCCAGCCTGGGCTGCAGAGCAAGACTCCGTCTCAAAAAAAAAACAACAAAAAACAAAAAACCAACAATGATGACAGCCAACTTGTTGAACGCATATGATGTGACAGATACTATATTATCGGTATATTATGCCACCGTATTTATTTTTATTTTTGAGACGGAGTTTTGTTCTTGCCCAGGCTGCAGTGCAATGGCATGATCTTGGCTCACCACCACCTCTGCCTCCCGGGTTCAAGTGATTCTCCTGCCTCAGCCTCCTGAGTAGCTGGGATTACAGGCATGAGCCCCTACACCTGGCTAATTTTGTATTTTTAGTAGAGATGGGGTTTCTCCATGTTGGCCAGGCCAGTCTCGAACTCCTGACCCTCAGGTGAGTCGCCCGGCCTTGGCCTCCCAAAAGTGTTGGGATTACGATGTGGAGCCACCGCGGTCCCTGGCCGATGCCACCTTATTTTATTCCATCCCCATTTTGAGTGTTTTTGGGGGTATCCTAATGTACATCCGCAGTTTACAGTACTATAAAACAGCCCGCCTGACTGTTCCTCTCTGAGCCCAGCCCCTCTCGTCCTCTGTGTGCTGGCTCCAGC